TGGGTACCCAAATGTTGGTAAGAGCTCTTTCATTAACAAAATCACAAGAGCAGATGTGGATGTTCAGCCCTATGCATTCACCACAAAGTCCTTGTTTGTCGGTCACACTGACTACAAATACTTGAGGTATCAAGTCATTGACACTCCAGGAATATTGGACAGGCCGTTTGAAGATCGTAATATTATTGAAATGTGCAGTATTACGGCACTCGCTCATCTTAGAGCTGCCATTTTGTTTTTCATTGACATTTCTGGATCATGTGGCTACACTATTGAACAGCAAGCTGCTTTGTTCCACAGCATAAAGTCCCTCTTTTTGAACAAACCATTGGTCATAGTTTGCAACAAAACTGATTTGCAGCCTTTAGAAGGGATATCCGAGGAAGACAAGAGGTTGGTCATGCAGATGAAAGAAGAAGCTATGAAGACTGTGATCGGACAAGGTGGGGAGCCCACAGATGATCAAGGAGTGCTTTTGACCATGAGCGCTTTGACGGAAGAAGGCGTGATTTCGGTGAAGAACGCTGCTTGTGAGAGGCTGTTGAACCAAAGGGTTGAAGTCAAGATGAAATCAAAGAAGTTAAACGACTGCTTAAACCGTTTTCATGTTGCGATGCCGAAACCTCGTGACCAAAAAGAAAGGCCTCCATGTATACCTAAGTCAGTGCTGGAAGCCAGAGCTAAGGAAGCAGAGGAAGTTGCAGAGACAGAGAAGAGGAAACTTGAAAGGGATCATGAGGCTGAGAATGGAGGTGCGGGTGTGTACTCGGCCAAATTGAGTAAGCACTACATTTTGGCTGATGAGTCCTGGAAAGATGATATAATGCCGGAGATTCTTGATGGGCACAATGTGTATGACTTCATCGATCCCGATCTCCTGCTAAGGCTCGAGGAATTGGAAAAAGAAGAAGGGCTTCTGCAGGAGCAAGGAGGTGATGATGAGTTTGAGATGGATGGTGGGCCCGAGCTGACACCTGATGAAAAAACTGCACTGGCTGAGATCAGGAAGAAGAAGAGCTTGCTGATCCAACAGCACCGGATTAAGAAGAGTACGGCAGAGAGTCGACCAATAGTACCAAGGAAATTTGACAAGGACAAAAAGTTTACATCAGAGAGAATGGGAAGGCAGTTGTCTAACCTGGGACTTGATCCTACCTTTGCGATCAACAGGGCTCGTAGTAAATCAAGGGGCCGAAAGAGGGAACGATCAGTTGTTGGGATGGATAACTCGATGGATGTGGATGGTGATGAGGAGACTCCAAAGAAGAAGCTGAGGGTGATGTCATCTAGATCCAGGTCAAGGTCAAAGTCCAGGCCTCCAAGTGAAGTGGTTCCTGGGGAGGGCTTCAAAGACTCTGCACAAAAGTGTAAGGCTATTATTTTAGCTAAGAAATCTTCGAAGAAGAGGAACAAGGATGCTCGCCGTGGAGAAGCTGATCGGACCATTCCTAATCTGAGACCAAAGCATTTGTTATCTGGAAAGCGTTCTATTGGAAAAACACAAAGGCGTTAAGGTACCCTGCTCTGTTTTACATAATTTTTCACGTATTTTCCCTTACTAATAAGTGGTGAAGCTTTCAGTATGCTTTTTATATACTCCCTCCGTCCCCATAAATCATCCCAGACACAATTCACAGGTTTTACTACACATTTTATAAATTTTACACCTAGAATGAAATTAATTGAATTGAAAATAAAGTTTGTTAAACCTCGTAACACATAATGAGAAGATTTATGGGGGATGAAATGGATACTATACTCTCCATAATGAAACTGTTCTCACAATATATTACGAGTATCTTACAAGTTATGAAACAAAACAAAGTCCTGCAGAGGGATTGGCATTTGGATTTTTTTTATGCAATTGATTCAATGCTACGTTGTTATACTTCAGTTTTAGACACTTACTATGAACATTATGTGTCTAATTTTTATGGATAGCCGATGTTTTTGTATGTTTTATATATACACCTAAATCTGTTATGACCTAAACTGTGTACTTGTAGTTGTGTTCAAGTATAAACTGAGTGTGTGGGGGCGCCATTCTTTTAGCTCACTCAGCTGTTTTGTCAACAAAATATTTGAGTATTTGACATTATATGTAGGGGTGCATGGCCGGCCTATGTAAGGCCCGTGCAATATGCAAACATTGGGCCCTCAAAATTTGATGGAGCGTACAATTAATTAAAATACAAATAATGGATAGAAAAGTATTAAAAAATTACATTTTTCTACTCAGGTATCATTTTTTTCGCGTATGATCTCATCGTCAGCATTTTCGAAGATCACATTATTATGAGATTGCGCGAGATTAATATCATTCCATTGATCTTTATCTATCTTCACGTTAACATTAGCACCACAATTAACTGCCAAATTTTCAACATCTTTTTCTTCATATTTCGCTCAAGGTGTAAAGAAGTTTATTGCGAGTATCATTTTGAGATTGTTCAAGTTTCCCAAGTCTTTTTCCTTTTGATGTTTTTTCATATCTTAGTGTTTTCTTCACAATATAATGACTAAGAGGGGGGGGGGGGGGGTTATGACTTATACAAGACTGACTTATACATGTTCATATTTTTCATGTTCATATTTTTCTTTAAATCAATCGTCTTAGAATTTATAATAATAAAATATTCTCTCCATTTAAAAAAGAATACTCTTTATTATTCAAAAGTCAGAAATTTTGTTTATTTGTGCACTTTGATTGATTATTTGATAAAATAAAACATTTTTTTCACTTTCTGTTTTGTAGTACTTTTGACATCATTTTTACATATGTTGATGATGTATTAGGGATTTCATCCAATCCAGTATTATGTGAAGAGTACACAAGAAGTGTTCAAGAGTTCAGGAAAGCATGTGGTGATAACAAATAGTGTGTGCTTGAAGTGAAGATTAAGCCAAGGATATGAAGACAATTAAAGAAGTGCTCAAGAGTTCAACACCGAAGACCCCAAGGCATAGGTCTTTAGGTAGAACTCAATGTAACAGAAAGTTAGCTTGGCTTTTGGCTCAACTTAAGTCATTTTTCACATGCATAAAAACCATGATCTTCAAACATGCATCTTGCCCAGCCAAAACCATCAATTATCGGTGCTCGGCTATCAGTATTTGTTATTGGCATTGCTTTTTGCCAAATAGTTTTTTAGTTATTATCTTTGGTTTTTACTTTTAAGAACATTTAAAGGTTTTTCAAACCTTGAGTTTTCAAAAATCATAACCTTCAGCTTTCGGCATTGATTATCAGCGTTCGGCATTTGATTTTCGACTTTGGTTATTGATAGTTGTTTTAGCTAAATGGTTTTTGAGTTTTTATCTATTCTTGTTACTTCTAGACACATTTAGAGGTTTTTCAAATGTTTAGTTTTAAAAAACCATAACCTTTGATTTTTGGTGTTGGTTATCGGTATTGGTTTTTGACGTCTGAATCAATCAAGCGGTTTTCAACTTTTACATATTACATTTATATACATTAGTGAACAATTGCATACATGTGATTTCAAATTTTTATTTTTATTTTACTATTTGAAACTAGTTATATACTTATATTACTTACACCATTTGTCCCAAAATGAATTACCATATCTAAACAAAATGTGAAGTTTCATATATATGTTTTAAATTCATTTTATTTATAAATAGGTATAAAATGAACAATACAACTTACATGAAAAAAATTTAGTTAAAATTTATACAAACTAGAGCACGGTTATAAATACATTTTTTACCCCTCTTATGTAATATTTTATGTTGGCCAAACATGTACTTTGAATTACAATTAATTTCACTCAAATTTATCTAGCTGCATTCAATTTAACTCAATTTCAACATATTTTAACCAAATTATATGTAATTTGGTAATCCAATTATATTGATTTTATATTAGAATTAAATATACCTTTCTTTCCTAATTCGTAATCCAAATTTATAAAATATGACTAAAAAAATAAAAATGAAATATATTTAGGGTGAAGTGGTTATAATTAGAAAAATATAAAATAATATGACGTGATACATTGATGATGGACTTATAAATGTGATATAACAAAGAAATGAACAAATAATTAAATTTTAATTCGAAAAAAACATGTGTGCAAATATATACGAAACCAATATATACCCGAAATATATCCGAACTAGAATGTATCCGAAATCGAAATCGATCCGAACCGACCTAGAACTGAACCAGAATCAAACAAATGTATGGAACCGAAATTAAACCAAATTGATCCAAACTGAACCGATTATACCATATATCCGAAAGATATCCGAACTGAATTATTTCAAACCAAAACCAAATGGATTGATCCGATTGCCACCTCTAAACCCATCCCCGCAGTATATATGGACTCTCTTCTCTAGGGGTATGGCTTGTCGGTCCAGGGAAGTTCAAGTAACAACGACGTGGAATATTGGCGACCAAGAATGAAGCAACACCATTCTCGGACCTAGGTCACCAGCGACCACCTCTTTTCTTCATTTAAGCATCTCATTGGCAATGGTCGTAGAGCGACTCCAGCACAGTCTTCCCATTAGAGGATCCAAGCCTGATCTTCACTAGATAGTGAGGGAATAAATCCCCAGCAAAGCATTGCAATCAATCGTTGGGGATGGAGATGTTACGGTCGAGACATGTTGTGTAATGCCCTGAAATATGGCCTATTAGAAATGATTAATTTAATTAATTGATTAAGTCATAATACTCGTTTTGACTGTCTGATACCATAAGCGTAAATGGTTTTCGAAGCAGAGTAGTTTGGGGGGAAAAGCGAATACTGTTCAGGTTAGAATTTAAATTACGGAGTAACATTAAAGTTAACTCTCCCTTTTCCCACATGTGCTACTGTAACACCCTAATTCGTATAACCCGGAATTATAGGAATTAAGGTGAAACGGGAGAAATATTTTTAAAACTTTTCCAAATCATTAAATAGAATTCATAAAACAAAAATTCAAATACAAAATACGAAATTCGGATCGATCCTTTACAATAATGTTGGAGATAGCGGAAGACTTAAAATAATACAAGTACAATGATGTGGGTCAAACCCAAAACTTCAAATGCAAAACTTGGGAAAATCATGCATGTCAACCTGCCATCCTATCGTCTCTTCGTCCTCCAGGTGGTTCACATAGCCTGTGCTTCAACCTACGTGCAGACAAAAGACTACACGCTCAGCATAAAGCTGAGTGGTACGATAACATGAGAGATCGATAACATATTTATATTTAAATACCATGCATCACATTGGCCACATAATTTTCATACTTGCATTGTAGATATCACAAGATACAAGAGACACATATACATATCATGGAGATTCTTTTTGGGATATTGTCCAAACAAAAATACCTTGGCCTTGTCGTCGACGATGTTGGATATGAAGTACGGTACGTTTTGCAATAACATACACAATTTGATAATTGTTATTGTATAATTACTTACAAGCGATGCAATGTCAAATGATTCATGATGCATGAGTTAGACTGCGTAGGGACCCCCTGCCCTTCGGTGATCATCCCCACGCGGTAGATGAGCCGAGGAACGCCTTAGTCATCCCGATGGAGACTAGAAATGTGGGTGATAGCTGAAGCCTAGCTACCATGTACGTACACAAGCCCTCGTGATGAAAACCCGTTGGATCCCGCAGGCTCTTGGATGGGCCCGCGGAAGAGGCGCACTAGGCCTGACCTCTTGTCGCGGTATGCAAAGTATGCCATGATCCTACACATGCGTCTAGGATATACATGATGATATGAATGCATTGCTTGATGAATGGGGTTATGTTCAACGCACACATATAAGTTTAATTCTGTATGATAACGATTTGTTCAATATGATGGTCTTAGGTTCATGCTGTGCAGCTTCTGTTCCCAAAGTTCTGCAGATTGTTATAGTCGATTGTCACCTTATGACAATCAATTGTCTTGTTAGTTTGTCCAACAAACCCAAGTTCAAAGTGGCCTGACTTATGATCCCGAAGGCTTATATTGAAAGCTAAGTCTCGGTTTTTAATCCATATTTCAAATTTTGATTCTTGTCTTGAAAGCATTTTGATTTCGGATCTTTCTAAAAATTCAGCAGCCCCTGATAATCGATTTTCACTTGTTGATAATCAATTATCAAACTTCTGCAGCCTCTGATAATCGATTATCACCAAGTGATAATCGACTATCAAATGTTCCACAGCCTCTGATAATCGATTGTCACTTTGTGATAATCGACTGTCAGAGTTCAGCAGCACCTGATAGTGTTGAAACACGGGCTTGTCACGTTTTCGTACTAAAGCCGTGTTCGTTTTTGTAACAGGTTTTGATAATGCCAAACCTCCGTGATCAAGTCGAACATTGAATATACAAGGCGAAGAACGAAGATAAGAGCAAGAGCTGAACGAAGACCTTAATCATAGTATTGAGTCGGTCTTTATTGTGATCAAGACCGACCCAATCTTTACACCTTGGCTCTTTAGGCTAAAAACTCTCATTGCATTTCTTACATCATAAAAATGTTTTTCAAACTTGTTTAAGTCATTAAAAACACTTGGTGTTCGCCCAAACCAAAAACCAAGCCATCCAGTGTTCGGCTTTCAGAAACCAGCGTTCGGCTTTCGGTTATCGGGTTTGGTTTTTGGCATCCAAACCAACCAAGTGGTTTTCAGCATTTTATGATCTGCTTTCACTCTTTGGCATGTTTAAACGGTTCTCCAACAAAAACACTTTGAAAACCATCTCTCGCTTTTTAGTCGTTTGACAAAAACCACGCAAAACAGCGTAAACTTGGCTAGCCGTGGTTTTTACTCAAATGACGTGAATTTTAAAGTGTCTCACTTGATTTCTTAGCCAAATACATCAAATAAGTGTTTTAAACACTTGGTTTTTATTTTGGAGAACTTTGGATTTTTCGGTCGGTTTTTGCATCGGTTGGCTAGGCCGTGGTTAAGGCAAAAACCATAGGTTTTTGGCTAACCACCCACCCAGCGATGGGAAGAACATCCCATCGATGGGTAAGTAGCCCCTTANGACCGTTGGAAGTCATTTAAGGTTGATTCTTTCCTTGTTTGGAAGTCAACCTCCCACCCAGCGATGGGAAGCTTGTACCCATCGATGGGTAGGTAACCGTTGGCTTCAAAACTGAAGGAAAATTGGCTTACCAGCGATGGGTAAGTTCCAAACATCGATGGGAAGCCAATATCCTGCAGATCCCAAATTTATTCAATCCCTTAAATCAAGCCAATCACCCCTTTAATGCATTGGTCCGTTGGAGCCTATTTTGGCACTATAAAAAGGGGTGTTTGGGTCTGCTTTTATCATCAATTCACTTCACAATATTCATATCATCATTGCATTAAAACAACATCATTTTTCATAGCTTTCTAGAGCCAATTTGTGAAGTTTGAGTTGTTCTTCAGCGTATATAGTTTACTCAACATCTACTCTAAAAGAGAGCCTTGTTCTTGAGTGTCTTAGTGTTGTATACACGTTAAGAGAAGCTTGTTTCCCTTGGTTGTACGAAGGAAAGGTATTTTCCTTCGGGTTGAAGTCTTGGAGTGCGGTATCTCCGAGCAAGTATTGTTGAGGCTCGTGGGACTCGAGTTCTCAGGTGTTAACGGTTTGTTAAGCACCCGTAAGCTTAACGGAAGTAGTGTAGCTCGAGAGAGTCTCTCGGGAGGCTGGATTAGCCACAAGTTGTGGTGAACCAGGGTAAAATTCGGTGTGCCTCTTACTCTTCTCTTTACTTCTCTTTTAAGTTTTTTTTATTCCTGCGATTTCTACGATCAAACGCTATTCACCCCCTTTCTAGCGTTGGTCACTTATTCTAACAATTGGTATCAGAGCCTAACTCACGTCTAAACTTAACCGTTTGAGAGTAAAGCGATCATGGGTTCTTCTTCTAGAAATCTTTATGTAGGGATTGGAGAAGGTCAATCAACTACACGGCCACCTCTTTTTGATGGAACCAATTATACATATTGGAAAGAATGAATGAGAATCTATATTCGTTCCACGAACTTCCAATTATGGTTGGTTATCAAAAACGGGGAAGAGGTGCCGATGAAGAAAGTCGGAGACAAGTTGATCCCCAAGACCGAAGACGAGTTTGATGCCGAGGACATCAAAAAGGTCTAGAATTACGCAAAGGCAATAAACATGCTTTATTGTGCCGTAAATCCTGACGACTACCGCAAGATCTCCTGCTGCTCAACCGCCAAGGAGATGTGGGACAAACTTGAGGTGACGTACGAAGGAACGGACCAAGTACGTGAAGCCAAGATTGACTTCCTCACCCAAGAATATGAGATGTTCAGGATGAAGGAGCACGAGAAGATTGACGACATGTTCGACCGATTTTCCAAGATAGTCAACGATCTTCATGCATTGAAGAGGACTTACACCGACAGGGATCTTGTACGAAAGATCCTACGGAGCTTGACATCCGAATGGCGAACTAAGGCCGATGCCATCTATGAGTCAATCGGCACATCAAATGTCACCATCGACGGTTTAAGAGGTAACTTAAAAACTTATGAATCTACTATACTTAACCAGTCTTTGAATGACCAAAGGAAAGACATAGCATTAAAAGCCTTCAAAGAACCAACGATGAATGACTCAAGCGACGATGATGAAGTCAAGCTTGTCATGAAGAGGTTTTGCAAACTTCTAAGAAAGAAAGAAAAGGTTGAGGATGGCCCTGTGTGCTATGGATGTGGTGAAGCCAGGCACATCAAGAACAAATGCCCGAGAAACGGAAGGAACACTCGACACTTCAAAAGGCAAAGGGCGTACGAGTCAACCGACCAAGATGAGGATGAAGTTGCCAACCTCTGTCTCATGGCACACGAAGACCAAACCGACGATGTACAAGAGGTATGTACCATTTCTTCCGACTCTTACACTTTTGAAGAAATGCAAGAAGCACTTCACGAACTTTATGATGAATTTGTTAGCGCTTCTAAACTCAACAAATCGTTAAAGAAATGCCTTTCCACTCTTGAAAATGATTTTGAAAAGTTGGAAAAAGATAATGAGAAGTTGAAACAAGAAAATAAATTTTATGGCAAAAGAAGCGCCAACAAACCAGAAAGTTCCTCAAACGAATGTGAATCTTGTAAAGTTTTAAAGGAACAAGTCACTAAACTTGAGAGTACGGTTAAGAAATTTAATACTCCGCACAAAAATCTTAATTTACTCCTTGACACCATGCATTTTTCTAAAGAAGGAATAGGTTTTGATAAAAATGAATCTAAGGATAAAAACGTTGAGCAAACACCTAGACAACCTCCTAAGGCTCAACATGAGAAAAGTAAAAATCAGGATAATAGAAAATCTAGTCAACCTAAGGACACTAGACAACCTAGACAAAAGCCTAGGAATGAAAATGTGCATGTTAGACAACCCAAGAAAAACTATCAAAATGATTTTGTGCATAAAATTAATTTTTCAAATAGACAAAATAATGCTAGAACACCTAGAAGAGAGAGTTTTCAAAAACCAATATTTTCCCAAAATAG